CTGCTGGCCCAGGGGAGCTGGGCAGCCCCTGTGAGCCCTATGGCTGCGAGGAGCTGTGGCAGGCCCAGGAAGATGCTGCTCTGGACTTTTCGATGAGGCAGAAAGGACAAGCAAGGATTAGTGTCAATAAGCGGCTGCAAACAGTTTTCGAGGTTCCCCCTGCCAGCAATAGAGCCGAGTGTCTGGCCTGTGTGCTTGGCACCTTTCCTCTCTAAGCTTTGAAAATGTTGCTGAAAGTTGATTTTTTTTCCCTTTTTTTTTTTTTTTTTTTTTTTCTTTTTTTTCCCTTTCTTATTTTCTTCTTCTGCATATGGATGCTGGCAGGGAGCAGGATTCAGGGCAGAGCAGAGAGCTGCCAGGGTCTGGGGTTCCTGGGAAGGCAGCAGGGTCCTCTCCTGCAGCAAATCCAGATGTTTTTGCAGCTTCTCCCTTCTGCACTCACTGCTTGCTGCCAGGGGCATGATCATCCAGCCCTTAATTATTACTGTGTGCGTTTCACCTTTCAGTTGTAAAGGAACAGACCATTACATTTATGATTTTAATGCTGAAAAGAAAAGGTGGGTCAATCAAGTATTAATAAGCTATTGCATTAACCTACTGATTTTAAATAGTTTTTAGATATTTCACAATAGCTGCTGCAGCCTCTGTGCAACATAGTCATGCACATGACTGAACAAATGAGGGACAGAACCTAGTGAGCATTTTTTAACTAAAAATGTGAACATTTTTACTCATTCATTGCCTGGGGTGAAATCAATGGCATTTCATAAAATGTCTAACTGAAATCATTAGTAGAGTAGTTAGAAGTGTCAATATTTTCAAAAATATTTCTCATGTTTCATAATAATTTATATAGATTAATACTACAACTATTCTATAATAGCAAAATGCATATATTGCCTAATTGTCTAATATAATAATGCATAGTTATTTAAGTTTTTCTAGTTTTTCTCAGCTCCTGTTTTTAAAAAATTAATTGTTGCATTTCTAGCTGTAGGGAATTCTGAAAACAGTGATTACTGGATTAAAAACAAAACTTAGTCCCCACCCCAAAGTTTTGCAAGTACAAGAAATACAAAGAAAAGATTGCTTGTTACCGGCACAGTATAAGTGGGATTTCTTTAAAATGTAAAAGCCTGCATTCATAGGGGGACACTGACAACTTGAAATTTGACAGAACAGAAACATTCCTGTTTGTTTAAAAAAAAAGTTTGACTTTTATGAAGTTGACAAAGGACTGGGGTGAAAGAGAGGTGCAGGATAATCAAAATTGTATGCTGGTAAGATTAAGTGTGTACTTTGTAGGTCATTTGTTTGTATAAACAAGAACCTGTTGCTATAGCTGATGGCATTTCAAAGAGTCTTAGACCTCGAGAAGACCAACAAGAGTAAAAAAATCGTGGATTTCATGCATTTCCATGGATTGAAGTGCAGTTCCTTTCTCAAAGCTACCCAGGTCATTTCTCGGGCAGCCTGATGGGAGGCGTGCTGAAGTCAACTGGAAGCAGGCTGTTAACTTTCAGTGTGGTTTGGAGCTGAGCTCAGGTGAATTCCTTTGTTCCTCAGAGGAGACACTTCAGCACTGTGTCAGAATAATTAATAAAAGCAAAAATCTTTTCAAGATTTATTTCTTTTTTTTTTTTTTTATTTAAGCAGTGAGGGAAATTTGTAATTGGACATGGTTATCAAAATATGTAAAAATGGTGCCGAGAAATGTGTTCTTATCTCATGTAATTGCTCTGTAATTGTTGGGGAGAGGAATCAGATTAGGGAGCCTAAGTATTTCCAATGCTGAAGTTAATGTATTTTTGCAAATAGTGAGTCTAAGTCTGCATTCCTTGAAGTCAGTGGGAGTTCGTGTGTTTTGCAGAATTGGAGCTAGTATTTGCAAGCTCTCAGCTTTATGTAAGAAAGTTTGAGTTTTTGGTTTCTTTTTTTTAAAGAATAATCAAAACTTTTAATCAAAGAATTCATTTATGTTTAAAATATTTTTTTAAGTAGGAAGTGTTAATCTTGAAGGTATAATTTATTTTTTCTTGACTTGTCTTTCTCTCCTACTCTCCACTCTCTCTTTTAAAACTAAAATACAAAAATATTTCCATCAAGCTTAAAAATCAGTAAATTAGTAAATGTTTTAAGTTATTAAAGATGTTTTTTTAGTTTGGTTTTTTTTTGTTCCTCGAGTATGTTGTTATGAAACTCACCAGCACTTGCTACATTTTGTACCCGAAGTTAAAATATTTGTGGTACATTAGGAAAGCATTAACTAGCTATTGTGATTTTTTTTTTGGCCAATTTCTACCTTTAAACTAAAATGTTGTATATGTGAAGTTAATGTTTTCATGTCAATAACTTCATTTGGGAGAGTAAGTTTTTCTCTAAAGCCTGTCATTCTTCTTAGTTCTTCCAAAGATACAAAGAGCAGGCAAACACTCAAGACTTGTGCTGTAGGTTATGCTGTAGATGAAGATTAGAGAGCTGAAAACCAACCTTCTGTGGAAGTTGTGCTTCAGAAGCATCATGGAACTTCTGAAAAGCATGCTGCTTCCAGCAAAAATGGTTTCCTTGAATTTGGTACAAGAGAAAGTATTTTTGCTGCTGTGGAAGCTGGTTCAGTTTTGTTTCCATGCTAACCAAATTTGCACTTTGTTTGACACTGTGTGTGGTGCTCTTGCTGCCGGGGAGCTGCAGCAGCTCTAATGTATGTGTAGTAGATACTGTGTCTGTGAAAGCAAAACCAGCCCTGGAAACAAAACAGTGATGGTTGAGTCCTATAAAACCTGCTTGGAAAAGTCCACGGGAGCAAAGGAGCAAAAGGGAATCTTCCCCAGTTCTGTGAATGCAGAAAAGGAGACATGGAGAAGGGTTTTCCTAAAACCATACAGGGGTGACCTGCAGGTTGGAGACAGAAATAGGATTGTCAGCTCTGTATCAAAGCACTTTTGCTATCAGCATCCCTGATTTTTGATGTGAAAAGAAAGTTAGTACTTATCCTGAACTTGCCAAAAATCTAATACTTGTCACAGCAAGATGCAGGTCAGACAGTGATTTTCATGTCTTTGCAACTTTTATCGGTATCTTTCAGAACTGGGATCTAACCTGAGACATTAAGTAAGATGCAAAGCTCATTTAAACAAGGCTGTTGCTGACTTGCAGTACTCTGAGCAATTTTACATTCTTAGCTAGGAGGGGTGGGGTGGGGTGGGGGTGGTGATGGGGAAGACTCAGGGACTTGAAAATCACTCCTTCCAGGACTGCAAGCAAAAGCTGTCCGTTTTATGTACTCTAAAAATTCCTCCATTCTCTTCTATTTAAGTTGAAAATTCATTTTTAGGCTAGAGAGACCATGATACTGAAGTTTAAAGGTTAAATACTATTAAATTCAGATGTAAAAAAATCCCAAACCCAAAACGTTTAATTTTTGGGAATTGGGCATGGAAGTACGAGAATCAGATAGAAATGCTAAAGCTGGGAGAAAAGAAAATAACACTATTCTGAAAGCAGGTATTTTTTGGAAAATGTACTGATGCTTATGGGGATATTTAGAATGTCTCCAGACATAATATGGGCAGGGTAGGAGCGGAATAGTTGGAAATTTGCAGAAAGTTTAAAGGCTACGTAATAAAACAAAGGCAGGTCACATGGATGTTCACTTTTCATAGGTGCAACCAGTGCTCCTTTTATTTTAGTTTTAGGAGTGGAAGGAACACTCAGCTGTGCTTATTTATAATCGTTGATCCTTAACTCTCATCCATATTCTCTGTATTTACACGTGTTCTCCCTCATAATGCGGTGTAGCAATTTTCTTTGTCCTTTAATGACTTGTTTCCTCTTCAGTCATGCTTCCATTCACTTCCTTTTGGCTCTTTCTATTAACTCTAGCCTATTCTAATTCTTTCTTGTTGCTGCTTTTTACCCTGTCTTTCCTTTTCTCCCCAGCCCTTAATTCCTCCCATCATTCTGTTCCTCCTTCCTTCCGGCCTGCTGCCAATGGCTCGGATGGTTTTGAGTGACCAAGATGTGGGAATATTGTGTGATGCATGCAGAATGGAGCAGTGGCCTGAGAGAGTTATCCCCAGAAGTCAGTGCTCCTTTCAGATTTCCCCCCTGCTGGCAAAAAGCTACCTCTGTACACTAGGAAGCTTTAGGAATAAGCCCTCAGAAGATGAGCTTCCCTGTGGCACAATCCTGTGGAAGCCCTTCTGGAAGCGGGTGCTGTGCAGCTGGCGAGGGCATGAAGCAGTAATGTACACTCATGTCATGAGGAAACAGAAATATGAACCAAAGTGCTTAACCCAGCAGCTTATACTTCTGCTGGAGTAACTTGATTTAGTAAGTTAAAATGTCAGTGCTGGGGCTGTAGTGCTGCTGTTTCCTTTCCCTGCCTTCTCGACGACGACGACACTCCAGGGTTTTTAAAAACATCTCCCAAAAGCGGGAAAGATCACGAGAAACATGCTCTCAATTGCACGCAGTTTTTAATATTCCTGGGATCTGTTTTGAAGGGTGCATTTGACAGAGAGAAACCCAGCAGCCCCACACTGAATCCTTTGTCCTTCCTGCGGGGTGAAACAGTAGATAGCTTACTGTAAGTGTGGCTGCCTGCCAACCCGTGGCGCAGATTCTTTTTTTAATACTGTAAACTGGCAAGAAATCAAGAATTGCCGTTCTTCCTTTTATTTACTTTCCCTTCTGTATTAAAGAGCTCAGTAAATAAGAGAAAGTTAAATGTTGAGTGAAGGTTTCATACTGATTAATCATTAAATAGCAAAGAGTTATCGGTTCGAGGGGATGGATTTGCCCCATTTTTTTCCATTTCTCTTTGGTTGAAACTGGAAATATCAGTTGCTTCATCTGGAATAGATTATCACAGGGAAAAGTCTGTGCAGTTTGAAATGAGGACAGAGCAGAATGCATCCATCATGCATAGTTTAAAATAATCTGCAAGACTGCTTCTGATTTGATCCTTAGATGTACTTCCTCCCGATTTTCTTCAAAACTTGTGTTAATAATGAGTACTCTGTCTCTAGAAAAGGCTTTTTTGTAGAGTCTGCCCCCAGCCTCTGCTTGTAAGTATTTTCTTATTTGAACAACTAAGCTTCCTGAAATAGCTGCTGAGTTTTTTTGTTTTGCTGTTATATTTAAAAGTGGTAGAGGGGTGTGGAGTTCCTTCTGCTGCTTCTCAAATCCAAGGCATGCCTTGCAAGCTACTTTGCTTTCACGCTAGAAAGGGAATCGGCGTTGCTGCTTTTCTCATGGTTGTGTTGCTAAATTATTGGCAAAATTATCCCCAAGCAAAAAAAAAAAAAAAAAAGTTTGTATTGATACGGTGCACATTTGAGTGATTTATCTTGAGAGAAATGTATTTCTATGTGCATGATGCAGGAGGCCAAATTAAATTTAAAAATTACTGTTGCTGTTAAATACAGACCTAATGTGAAAAATTAGCCTGCAACAGATTGTTTTAAATCCCAAAGCGTACTGTGGTTCATTCAGAGGTCAATCTTGCTTAAAACATATTAAACATTTAATAATATCAATATATATCTGTTGCTGACTTGATGAACCTACCACATAGGTCATGTGTGCACAGCTTTATTAAAGGCATTGTTGGAAAAAACACGGATTCATGTTTTGTTTCTTTTATTCTTCTTGGCTAATTGGAATTTAAGGTTTCTGGAAGTGATATGGAATAGTTTTGCTTTAGAAGGAGTGGATTGTGGCTGAAGAAATCTAGACTTCATCTGGCAGATTTCTTGAAATAACTTGCTCAAGTCATTAGTTGTTTTGAGGAGTTTTCTGTTGCTTGTTTGTTTTTTTCTCTCTGAGTTCTTCATCTGTAAAATGGAGATAATCCTGTTCCCTTACCAGATGGCAGTATGTTATAGATAAATTAATGAATGTTTGTGGGACAAAGCAGTAGCACTTAATGGGTTCAGCATAAGCATTCACATTAATGATTCATATTAAAGAATAATTGAAAAACTGCATTAACTTGAAAGTTGAGAGTCTGCTGTCCCAGAGACAGAGGCTTAGTTTCCAATCTGCAATGCCCAAATGAGGGACACAAGAAATATTTATTCAGGAAATTTTGTAGTTTACAAGTTTCCTTCCTTTGGTTCCTTCCTTCCTTTAGCTAGAAAGAAATTTTTTTTCAGACTCTGCTGGACAAGTCTGGATTTTTGAAGTAAATTCTCTTTAAATATAAAAGGAATAGGCACATTTTTGTGGCTATTTGTGCAGGTGATCTGGCACAAAAATTAATGAGTAAATAAACTATTTAAAGATTATTAAATTTGAGAGATGATCCAAAGAGATGAGAGTAATTTTTCTAAGCAATTATTAAAAAAACCCAACCCTCTCCTGCAAAAGCACGGATCAGAAAACATCCCATCTCAGTTATAGCCATCAGAAATCTTGCCCCCATTCTCCTTTTTCTTTTAAATATTTTTTAGATTTAAAGATTTTTAGCTCGTTCAAGATATCTAGGAAAGTTTTCTTGCAAAATGACAGGTAGAACTCTCACAAACTTGTTACTATTTTAGAGGTGTTGGATAAGATGCATAATTATCTTGAATACAGTTTCGGTTTTGCTGCCTTTTCAGTGTAGCAAGCTACAGGGAAAATAACAAATTCAGTCTTCAAGGGTCCTGGACCTCAAAGGGAGAAATAAGTAGGTAACAACTCTACTTTCACTTGTGTTTTGCAGACTATATTTTTTATAAATGGGGTTGTTTATTTTAATTTTAAGTGGCATTAGTTCATCCCTGTTTTGTTGAGGGAAAATAAAGAAATATCTGCACAGAGTTGGAGTTATAATGGGGCCGTGTGACTTGAGAGGAGTCTACTAATACGTGATTCTCTGATACTGGGAGCAGATGATCTTCGATAACTAGCGGATTTCTGTATGTATTTTTAAAATGCAAGAATAAGTGCTGATATAAATATTACTATGGCTTTATTTAATAAACAGTGCACTGCAGTAGCATTTCAGAGTTACTCTTGCTGTGTTCGGGTAGTTCTCTTGTAGCTCTCAAAAGCTAGGGTTTTATGCTCCTTTAGCTATATATTTGGAAGAAGCAGAAAATGGTTTTATCACTTGCTTCCTACTGAGATACTCGGTTCTTACAGTAACAATTTTCCTTGGCTGTTGCAGTGTGTGCCAGGAGATTGCAGATCCTGTGTCTGTACGTAGACTTGATACCTCAGAAACTGTCTTTTATCCGATATGCCGGTAAGGCAATTACCATGAGTCAGATGAACCCTCCACTCCAGGTTCCTTGTTATGGGTCAGGCCAGAGCAAGACCTTTTCTGGTCAGGGAGCCAGTCTGTGAATTAATGTCAGTGAGAATTACGGGTAAAATCCCCAGCAATGGCTGGTGTCCAAAATCAGTAGCAAGACTGGTAATTTAAATGTCTGCCGCTCCTGGACAAAAATAAGCTGCTTGTATCTCGCTCTTTCTCTCATCCTAACAAGACCATTTTGGATTTGTCCAAGTAAAATCAAGAGAATAAGTTTGAGGAGCAGGAAGAAGTGTTTCTTCCTCCTTCACTTCAGTAACTTCATGTTTGTCCATGTTTTTTTCCCCAGCTCCTTAAACCAGAGGAAGGATGTCCCACTGATCGTCTCTCAGCAGGTCACGGCATAAGCTGCTCCCTGTTTTATCCCTCCGATGAGGCCGTATACCACTCACTGCATTCACTCTTTCCTTTGCCAGGTCACGTTTGATTTTCTCCTCTTGAACAAGGCTCAGAACAACCCCAGCTCCTCCCTTGCCAGAGCTAGGGGCTGCTGGGCAGAGTAACACTCACAGCCCTGTGACCTCTGTGGCCGCCTCATCTCCGCTGTGGCACCTGCGGCAGTATCGGCCACAAAGGGATTTTCTTTATTGCATTAAGCTTGCAGAGAGAAGATTTAGTAGGTGTGTCGCAGTGCCATTAGCCTCCTGTGACCCAGTGTCTCAGCAAATCCTTCCATGGCTGTGTAGAATTTGTTTTAGTTTGAGCAAATTCGTCTTCATTACAGCCATTTTGAGGGAAACTGTTCTCTCTACCCACGGGGCCATCTTCTTAATTCTAGGTGGCTGGACCTACTGCTGGTATTTGAATCATTATGCCAGACTTGAGTAACATCCCATCTGGCAATGGGAAATTCAAAAATACAATTAATTGAATTTCCTTATATCATATGGTTGTGAAACTTTTTTTAACAAACTTTCACACAGAAACAGAAGTTTTATGCTTGTGGTAATTATGTTCATAAAAAAATGTTTTGGTGTGCTTAGTGCAAAATAACATTTCAACTTTTGGAGGACAACCACAGAATCTATTAAAAAAATAAGTGTTGGCAGACACATAGGCAAAGGAAATCTATCAAAGTTTGTTGATGTTTTTCTGCAGTGCAGACCAGTTAACAAACTCTTTCCCTACGCAAACGAGCAGCATCTCGTCACAACACTTCAAAATCTTTAAATAACTTAAAGGCTCTTTCCTTTGATGTGAAGTTCACTGTGCAACACCTTGGTGCCAGGGAAGATAGTTAATTATTATCTTTATTACAGGCGTGGCCTGATTCAAATATCTGTATAAAATGTCTCATCTGTGGCACACTGATACTGCTTGAGCATTGAGTGCCTGTTGTACGTGAAGTCACCTTCAGCTGGGGTGTGTTCAAAATGAAGTACTGAAAATGTTTTTCCCTCCTTCAGATCCTAAATGGAGCTCTGCTGAAATATCATTGGAAAAGTTGGAAGAGTCTGAGCCTAGCTTGGGGAAAAAAAAAGTAAACAAAATAGGATTTTTAGGTGAGGTACAAGCACAATTTGCCTGTACAAGTGGAAAAGTGAGACCTGCTAGTTTAGACCAGCAGGTTGCCTCTTGCCAAATTCCAGATGACAATGACTGGAAGTGACTTGGTCTGGGTCTTTTGTTGTGAAAATCCCTGTTTCAGCTGTGACTGCAGGGTATTTTTTGAGGGGGGAATTGCTCAGTCATAGAGCCATAGAATGGTTTGAGTTGAAGGCAACCTTAAAGATCATGTAGTCCCCTGCCATGGGGGGGACTTTCACTGTCACCTTTCACTGACCAGGTTGCTCAAAGTCCAACCAACCTGGCCATGAACACTCCAGGGGTGGGGCATCCACAACTCTCTGGGCAACCTGTGCCACTGCCTCACCATACTCAGCATAAAGATTTTTTTTCCTACTATATCATCATGCCTGTGTTATTGGGTCCTAAACAAATACACAAGTGAGCTTTCTAGTTTCTGTGGAAAAATGATCAAAGGAAGGAATATCAATGTTTTGGATAGATGGATGCGCTGCAGTAGTATCTGCTGCCCATTATTGAGATCTGAGGTCCAGCCACTGCTTCTGCTTTAAGGCGTTCACAGACCTTTCATAGACTTGACATGCATTAGCTATTGGACACAATGTGAACCCTAAGTGAAAGGATGTACTACTGAGATAACCTCTAATTGCCAGATATGGGAAGGATTTAAGACCTGTTCCCAGCATTTTATTTTTTTTTTTCTTATAGCAAATGCAAAACAGCTTTCCAGTTAGCTTGACAATTTTGGGAGGGGTCTTGGGTTTCCATTCTTCTTGTACATTGCTTAGGAAGAATAAGCACGTAATTTTTTCTCTGTGAATGCCTGTTGATGGAATTTAATGTGTTTAACTGAGATAATCAAAGGGTCAAATAATTTTGTGAATTGTTAAGTATCATTTCATCTTTAGTACAGTGACAGTGGTCCCTGGGGTTGAAGAACAGTGATTGTTATGGTTCTTTTACCATCTGGCTCTGTGACAAAAATACCCGATCTTGTGTTGCTCTACATGATGAAAAAATAGATAAATAAATAGGATTTATGAGTTTTCTTTGCAAGGCTTTTCCACAGGGCAATTGATTTTATTTTAGTCTGTACAAGACAGACTAAGACAAGAAAAAAAAGAAAGAACATATTTCTCTCTCTTGCTTTCCCAGGTCCGGTGTAAATGAAAGAAGACTCATATGTACTTAGAGATCTTTAAAAATGCCTTAATATATTTTCTTTGGCTTTCTGAAGAGAAGATTCTGTATTTTTAATTGTAAAGAAGGATTTTTTTTTTCAGTAATTTTGAATGCCCTTGGGCCCTCTTATGCAGAACTCCATAATCCTTCGTGACAAGCACCTTGCACAAGGTTTTTTGGGGTGGGAACCTTCCTTTTTAATTAGGTTGCAGATAAAGGTTCAGCTCAGTCATGTTAGTGGTGGAAGTTCTGTGACTTTTCCCACCAACTGTATACTTTGTGTCAAGGCCAAAAGTATCACTGTTCTCCAAATATTATCCCACAGCCCTTCTTTTGTTTAACGAAGCAGTAGTCTCCTATGGAAGAGTCTTATGCAAAAGATTAAATTGGTAGAATCAGGAATTCAAGATAAATCAAAAGGCTTTTTGTAAATGTGAAGACATTCCATTTAATACTATGCTGATGTTTTCCACTTTGCATGATTAGTTAAATGCAAAATTAAGTAACAGAAGTCAAGATCAGACGCATTTTGAAGGTTTGTTTGTTTTTAAAGTGTATTCCTCTTCCTAGGAGAATGTACTTCAGGTAAATATTAGATCTATCTGTAAACTGGAAAATCAACTTCTCATCTTACTTGAAAGGTGCCTTTGTAGTAAGGGCAATATAATGTCATTAAAATAGTGCTTTCCATGAAGAGAAATACAATGTAATGCTATATTTAACTACTTTGTAATAGCCAAGCTGTTGTGATGAGAAAATTTCAATAAAGTTTCTAATATTAAAATATATTTTGCAAGTCTATAACCTTCTTTGGCATTTATCACTTGGAATTATATACTGGTTGTCTCCTTGAAGGAAGGCTTAGAACTGTATCTTTAATAATTTTCAAAATATAATGATATTTTTCCCATTATAACAAAAGTACCAGTTGTGGAATTTTTTAGTGTGGAAATGGTTAAGAGTTGGTATATTGGTCATCACAGATCAACAAATATGTATATTTGTTTGTTGCATGAAATATAACCGAGGTTTAAAAACTCCTTAGAAATGTGCAGGTAAAAGTTTCCTCATGTCCAGCTTTGTGCCTAAAGGCCTAATTCTGTAGCTGTACCCAGAGAGCACGGAGCAGAGCGGGATATAAATGAGAAGATGCTTTAGGACCGATCCTGTAGCAAGACCTGGCTCAGCCTCAAGTCACCCTTTGGAACATGGCACGTCCTGCTGGCTGCAGGAGGGTCACTGGTTCGGGAGAGTGGTCAGACCTCCATGGCAGGGCTGTGTTTCGTGGGGCACAGGTGTATGTGCAGGAGCGTTTTGGTGTGGGTTAGGAGTGTTCTCCTGAAGCAAGTCCGCTCATTGTCCCCGCTTCCTGCCGACGTGCGCGCCTTGCCGAGCAGGCTCCGAGCACGCGGGCGGGTTTCGTTTTGGGTGCTGCTGAACCAGAAGATGTTTCCACCTGGGAATACCATTCAGTCAGCAGGACCAGTCTGGTTCTGGCTGAAAGTGAAACCATGTGATGGAAGTGTGGACATTTGTCCTCGAGATCAACCCCCTGAGGAGCTGTAGTCACAGCCTGACTGCTGTCACTGTCCCTATCTCGGCCAGGGACTAACAGCAGGTGCCTTGGGAAGACTGTAAAAGTGCAAACATGCTTTCCCAATATATTTTCCTAGCTTTCAGCAATCTGAATCTCACAAACTTCCTGAAGCAGAGATGGTATCTTTGGTTTAATAGCCTGTGATAGATTTTTCTTCCATTAGTTTGTCTTATTGTTTTGTAAACTGTGTGCATTTTTGTCATCCACAATATCCTGTGCAATGAGTCCTAAGGTAGAACAACGTATGTGTAAAGAAGTACCTTCTTTTTGTTTATTTTGAATTTACTACCTGATCCTTTCATTTAATGCTCCTTTGTTCTTATCTTGTAAGAGACAAATGATTCCTTATCCACTGCCTTTATGGTGCTCCATTTATCACGGATCTCTTTGATACTACCTTGATTGTTTGTCTTCCAGGCTGGAAAATCCATGTCTATTTAGTTCCTTGATCAGAACCTATTTCATACCTTTGATCATCCTCGTTCTCCTCTCTGCCTTCCTTTGTTCTGTTGTGTCTTTCTGAGACTGGAGGACTGCATACAAGCTAGAAAACATATTCATTGTGCAGCATCTGTTGTTTAAATGCTGGCTTGAGGATGTGTTCTGTGGTGGTCTACATTTCCCATAATTTTTAATAGTATTTGCTTTTTTATTTGACTGCTGAAGATAAACCATCAGTTTTTTATAAATGTCTCCACTGAGCACAAGATCTTTCCCTGTAGTGGTAACAGCTCACCCAGAGCCTATTCTGTATTAACAAGCTTGGGGTTGTTTTCCTCCCCACCCATCCTCCCCACCACTCCCTGCAATTCTTTATACCTGCCAACACTGAGTTTTGTCTTCCATTTTACAGTTTAGTCTTTTGCTGTGTGAGATCAGTTGCAGTTTTCTCAGTGAGCCTCCATTTGTATTGCTATGAGCGACTTGGTATCAGTAGGGTACTCTTTCTACACACCATTCTTCCTTCTTCTTCAACCCATTTATCCAGCTGTGTCCTGCAAAACTCCTGTGGAAAACTGGTAACCTATTTTCATAGAGAAACTGAATGCTTTATACCATCTTTTCTTTCCCATCTTTTAACAATTTATGTATTTGTTTGGAGATCAAACAAGTGGATTGATCTGGTCATGCTTGTCCTCACATACAACGATTCTCTAGCAATGCTAATGGGTTTATGAGGCAATTGTTCAAGTGCCATGTGGACTCTTCTTCCCCAGCACGTGGTATCTAGCTCTCTGTTCTTTGTAACAGTTCCTATCAATTTGCTCAATGTGTACATCAAATTAATTGTTTTGTAGTTTTCCGGATCCTCTTGAGAGGCCTGTTAGGAGCTTGGCAATGTGTTTGCTATCTCACACTTCTCTGGTACAGAGATGGGTCTAAATCAGATTAACACGAGCAGTAATAGCTCAGCTGTGTGTACGTGAGTTCCTGCAAAAGTTGAGTGAGCACCATCTCACACTTGTGGTCTCTTACCATTTATATTGGCCATATTTCTCTGCTGACCTCTATCACTGATGTTTAAATTATAGGCTGATTCTCAACCCAGAGACAAAAAAACCTACTCCAGTCAGGGGACCATCTACCTAACTTTTTCCATAGCAAGCACAAGTTTTGTTGTTATTTGTGGTTTGTTTGATTTGGTTTAGTTCTATTTCTTCTTCAGCCTTTTTAGCTTTATGTAGATTTATAGGCGGATCTGTTCCAGGGTTTCTTTTCATACAGAGATAGATTACATTATCCAGAGACAGAAGGGATAGACTTTTCTTCTTTGGGACAGTCCATCAGTTTTCTGTTCCCTTTAACCCCAGGCAGCAAGAAGGGACCAGTGCAGAACTCAAGCCTAAGTCCCTGAGTGAACCTCTTTCAATGATGCTCTGGTGAGGTGGAGAAACTTGATAAACTTTTTGAGTTGTGTGGGTATTTTTTTGTTATTCATTGCTGTTTGTTTTGAGTGGGTTGTTTGGTTTTTTTTTTTTTTTTGGTAGTTGTGCTTGATTGGCTTTTTGGGATGATTTTCTTGTTTTTGTTTTGTTTTAACTCTCTTTAATATTTCCCCTAAAGAGAGCTAGGAAACTAAACATGTCAGTTATCTTAGTGCAACTTTACGATTTCATAATTAAAGTCACAATGGCAGGAAATGCAGAAGTTTAGGTTTCAGTAGCAATATTGGCCACATATGGACTGTTAACTTCCTGCCTTTCATAATCAATTCTTATTTACGTACTTTGTGACCTACATTAAGTACCAAGGGTCTGACAAAATGTGATGATTGTTATCCTAATGATGCTCCTGGGAAGTTGTGGGGAAAATAAATTTTTTGGTTAAGAATTTAAGCACGAGAAGTTTTAAGTGATTTGCTCTATTTTGTATATGAAGCTTATGGAACTTGGGAGTGAATGCAGATTTTTGAGTCCTATCCCAAGGTTAACATGCTTGATTTTGTTTCCAGTAATATTTAGTGACTTTGCTGAGATTCTCTATAAGAAACCTCCCTGTAAGCAAGGGAGAGTGAAGTGGAGAATAAAGGTGTGTGAATTATGAATAACTCTCCAAGGACACCTGAAGGTTGAGGAAAAGGGTGGGTACTGTGAATTCTCTGGAAGACAAGGGTGTGGGCATGTCTTGAGAGAGGTCAGTATTATCTCTTGGGAGACAGCAGGTGACTTACATATAACTGTGAAGCTTTGTCAAGGGGACCAGGTAAAAATGTGCTGCTCTGTTATACAGAAGGTCATTTCAAACTATGCTAGTAAGTTAGAGATCATACACTGTAGGAAAGCAGGAAATGAAATCCCTTAATGTGCCCCGTGTGTTAAAAAAATAGGCATGAACAAAAAGGGAGGGAAAATAAGTGGATTTGAAGCACATTTTTGGTTTTGTTTTCAGTGGTTCATTTAGAGGAGGTTTATTGGGAATCTGCATGATAGGAATTTGAGTTGTATTACTCTTCACTAACTCAGCTGACAGGGCAGAACCTGAAAGTGGAGAGGTTTGTGACAAACCTGGAGCTGAAGAGTGAGGGAGAGGATCAGTTGAAGACTGACTTTGAGATTGAAATCTTTGAAGTTCAGAGGCTATGCAAGAGCTAAGATTAACTTCACCAAACCATTAGAATTTGTGAGGATTGGACATGAGGCAACAGTTGGAGAGAGTGAAGTTGCAGGTTGCAGACCAAGGTTCTTGGCAGGTACTTGGGAGGAAGGTGTTTGTGCATTGGGCATGAGGCATGAATGTGCTCATCAGCCTAGACAAGAGAAGTTCTGGTCCTTTAGGAGGTGCTTGCAGGCATGCACAGCTATTTGAAGTCTCAGAAATT